TGAAATTTGAGTAGGTATTCACTTGGCAGATAGAGTAAAGAGGAGGAGAGTCTACAGAGAGCCAAGATGTACAAAAGCACAGTGGTGTGACAGTGAATGGTATGCTCAAGCAGTTGTAATCAGACTGAAGAGAAGGGTAGGTACCAGAAAGCAGCAGGGGACACATTAGAAAGGTAGGCAAGGGTCAGCTGAGAAAGGGCCTTAAATGCAAAACCAAGAAGTTGGTATGATTTTCTAGTAGCTGAAGGGAGACTTTGAAGTGGAAACTTTGAATGGGTTCTAATCCTAACAAAATTAAACATTTAAAAACTAACATTTGTGTGGCAAGGTTAAATGAACTGAAACAGTCTGATTTAAGAGCAAAGGACACCTGAGAAAGGGAGCTTTCACTCTTTGAGAGGTGTTATACAGAGGATAGTGACCAGTTATTTTCAGTTTCCACTGACGACAGAGCAAGAAGAAATAGACTTAAATCTCAGGAAAAGGGAAAATTACCTATCGAAGGGGTCCTTCGCAGAAAGATTGAGTGTGACTGACATAGATGATTAAAATGTTGTTGGCTCAGGCACTCTGGCTGTGTGCTGCCTTCTGTGTGTTCAGTCCACCTGATTTCAAAAATAGGGTGAAGACTGCAGGTTTTCAGGCTCAAATGACAGTGTTCAAAATAAATCTTTTATGAGGCAATTGGTTATTCAGATTGTTTTGCTATCTCCCTAGCTAAAGTTTTGGAAATGTATTTGAACACATCACATATAAATAGTATCTTTCATAATATAACACTCCTGTTTATTAGGGGAAAAAAGAATGGTCAGAATTTGCTAGAGAAATGTGTTCATCTGTTGCAGGTATTTTGTATTCATGTACCATTTCAGAAGTTATTAAAGATTAGTTAGATACAGTTAATATAAATTCAGTTATTAATCTTTATGTGTAACATTTATTGATCAGATGATTATAATTAAAATCACTATGTGGTTTATTAACTGGCACTTAATCAGTGAATATAGTGAATTGCTCTATTTTTATTGCTATCATTCACTGATAACTCACTTTATTAAGATATTATAAAATGTTTTTAGTTTTTTCAAATAATTCCAATTTCTGGAGCTACTTGTCATTATATTGTTTGAAAATATGTACAAGACAGAGGATTATAGGGTGGCCATTTTGTTCATCCTTTTGCATGTTGTACTGAGTTAACCTGATATCAAAACAGTCAATTTTATTTATTAATAAACTAACCCAAACACTTTGGAAGTGATTTTGAACATACTCAGGTTACCTTTATACTACCCCAGGAGATGTCTATAGCTAGCGAGTACACTTGGAAGAGCAAATTATTGGATAAATGCCTTTAGCCATTAGAAGTGATGAAGGTGAATGGTCTTAGCTGCCTTCTGTACTTGACATTGAACCATTCAGTAGATCCTGAGAGAGACGATGACTAATGTGTGGATGGTGTAGACACAGTAAGAGACATTGAAGACCTGATAATACAAGGTAAATATACTTTAATATGCAAAGATGCTTTGCCCTTATGTTTTAACATTATATATTCATTTTTAAATGATTTGTCTAAGTTTCATGGACATAGAGAAAAATTTTAAAAAGACCACATATTTGTCCTGACTATTCCCTGTCAGTTTGAAACCACAAGATAGACTCTTGTTGTAAGGTTATTTAAAAAATAAACATTTCAGTACAGATTTAGCAAGTTATCTCCCATACCAACTGAAATATTTCTCAGCTTGACAAGATAGGCATATGGTCATCTTTGTCCATGCCTTGAAGGCAATGTTAGAATTCTAGAAAAGTCATGCAACTCTGTTGACTACTCTTTCTGATTCCGATAAAGATATTTAACTGAAATGTTACACTTCACTTCTGAGAATTCTTAAAATTAAGCACTAATAAGCATGCTTGTCAAAAAGGGAGTTTTTAAATCACCCACAAGGTTGCCATACGAGCACAGTGCTATTTTTCTATTCTTGTGTTTTCATTTCCAGGATTGGCTCTGTGCATTTTTAGAAAGAAAATTGATATACTTCTACAGTGTGGTGTCCTAAAAAATTGCATGGGTTTTCATTGTTAGGCTCTGTGTTTGTCTCTCTGTGTGTAAATAGTTTCTCTCCATAGATTTCATAAAATACAGATCAATTTCCCTTCCTTTAGGAAGAAGTGCTGTCAATTTCTTTAAGTACCTAGTGTTTTTCAGTGCACCTCAGTCGCTTAGTCATATCCGACTCCATGCGACCTCATGGATTGTAGCAAGCCAGGCTTCCCTGTTAATCACCAACTCCTGGAGCCTACTCAAACTCATGTCCATCACATCATTGATGCCATTCAACGATCTCTTCCTCTGTCATCCCTTCTGCTCCTCCCTTCCATCTTTCCCAGCATCAGGGTCTTTTCCAATGAGTCGGTTCTTCACATCAGGTGGCAAAGTATTGGACTTTCAGCTTCAGCATTAGTCCTTCCAATGAATATTCAGGACTGATCTCCTTTAGGATGGACTGGTTGGATCTCCTTGCAGTCCAAGGGACTCTCACAAGTCTTCTCCAACACCACAGTTCAAAAGCATCAATTCTTCTGAGCTCAGCTTTCTTTATAGTCCAACTCTCACATCCATACATGACTACTGGAAAAACCATAGCCTTGACTAGACAGACCTTTGTTGGCAAAGTAATGTCTCTGCTTTTTAATATGCTGTCTAGGTTGGTCATAGCTTTTCTTCCAAGGAACAATCGTCTTTTAATTTCATAACTGCAGTCACCATCTGCAGTGATTTTGGAGCCCAAAAAAACCAAAATCTCTCACTGTTTCCATTGTTTCCTCCTCTATTTGCAACAAAGTGATGGAACCAGATGCCATGATCTTAGTTTTCTGAGTGCTGAGTTTTAAGTCAACTTTTTCACTCTCCTCTTTCACTTTCATCAAGAGGCTCTTTTAGTTCTTCTTCACTTTCTGCCATAAGGGTGGTAGTGTCATCTGCATATCTGAGATAATTGATATTTCTCCAAGCAATCTTGATTCTAGCTTGTGCTTCATCCAGTCCGGCATTTGTATGATGTACTCTGCACAATATTGTAAAGTAGTTAGCCTCCAACGAATAAAAATAAATGAAAAAAAAAAGAAGTTAAATAAGCAGGGTGACAATATACAGCTTTGATGTACTCCTTTCCTGATTTGGAACTAGTCTGTTGGTCCATGTCTAGTTCTGTTGCTTCTTGACCTGCATACAGATTTCTCAGGAGGCATATCAGGTGCTTTGGTTTTCCCATCTTCTGAATGATTTTCCACAGTGTGTTTTGATCCACAGAGTCAAAGGCTTTGACTCTTGTCAATAAAGCAGAAGTAGATGTTTTTCTGGAGCTCTCTTGCTTTTTCTATGATCCAGTGGATGTTGGCAATTTGATCTCTGGTTCTTCTGCCTTTTATAACTCCAGCTTGAACATTTAGGAATTAAAGTAGTTTGTAAGAAACAACAACAACAAAAAAGAAAATGCTTATTTTCTTATTGCTTGGAGTAGCCAGCAATCCTCTGAAAGGGGTGTACTTTGTGAACATATAACCCTGTAATCTCAAGAAAAGACCTCTCTTTTGGAAAGTGAACATCCTATTGAGTCTTCACAGCTGTGAGCCTGACTTAAGACAAATTGCTATTTAGGTTTTTGTTGCTTTTTGTTCTTATAGCTTATTATTGAATTGTGCCATTTTAACTTTGTAGTACTTAAAAAGTGTTTGCTGCATCAGCATAATAATGCAAAATTTTAAATATTTTTACCTGCCTTGGATAAATGGTAATTCCAGAAATCCTAAAAGGAATCATTGTGATCGCTTGAATTACCAGCATCATGACTCCTATGGCTGTTTGTTTTGAGCCTTAAGACTAGCATTTCTTTTATGTTGTTCATATCATTGGAATCTAACAGTTGTTTAAATAAACTGTAACACTTTAAAGTATGGACCTGATTAAGTAAATGTGATTTTTTTTTTCCTTAGCCACTAAAACAATAAGGATTAAATTACTCTGTAATTACCTAAATATCCTCCAAGCCTCTTCATAAGCCTGTTTGTGAAGAATATTCATTTATTCTAAACAGTAATCCTTAAAGCTAAAACCCCCAAATCAGTATGGACATCAGTGGACAAACCCATCATCTAAGGATTATAGAATTAAAACATCCAATAGAATGAGAAAACTTGATACTTCATGCCATATTTGTCCTTTGTTTCTAAGTAAATCCTTGATTTCATTTGTACTTAGTCTTGTATGACAGTTATATTAAAGAAAACACTTAGATTCTCATTATAGATTTTTTTTGTCCTATACTTTGAAGTTTTTTTTTTATCATTCTAACTGAAACATCTCTTTTCTAGTGTCTCTGAAAAGAAGATACAATGTGTAAGCAGACAAATAAAATTTGACATATTATTATGATTGTGTGGTCAGATTCTGTTTATAAATCAGCTTAAAAGGCTTTAGTTATTCTTTTTTGATGGCCCATGCAAGTAAAGGAGCATACAATGCACTTGCTCTTTTATTTTCATTTGCATAGGTGATGACTAGAAATAAATATAGCCTCATAGATGCATCCAACTTTTAAGAATATATTTATGAGATAATACAAAGACCAAAATGCTGATGACAGAAACACTCATTAACTTGGACATTATTATCAATACTTAAATGGTTGTTCTTTTCTCATGAAAAGAATAGTTCACTTTGCCATCATGATTTAGACATTTTAAGAAATACAGATGAAAGTTTATTATTATTATTTACATTTTGGGTCACCTTTCTCTCTTTGAAAATGAGTTCATTTTAAAACCCAGCACCTTTTTACTAGAGCCCAGTGGGAACTATCCTAGACATTAGAAAAAAGTTTTATTAATTATAATGAATTGAGTTCATTCATTAATTTGTTTCACTTCTTTAAGTAAAAGTATATTTATATTGCTGAAAAATACTAAAAATAGTTATCATTATTCCATTTCAGATCCGAGATACTAAATCAGTAGATCAAAAGACCACCCTCTTGCATTTTCTTGCTGAAATTTGTGAGGAAAATTACCGGGATATCCTGAAATTTACTGACGAACTGGAACATGTAGAAAGTGCAAGCAAAGGTAATTGATTTATAACTGGTTGGAAACTACATACTGCCTAAATATTATACTTTAAATGGTAATCTATAAGCATTAATCATATTTTTTGTTTGGTTACTGATATAAGAAAAGCAGGAAGATAGTTTTCCTTAGTTTGTATTTTACAACATAGTGTATTTTAATAACCTGCTTTTAACCTACTTTTTCTTTTTAGCCATTCTGGTTTATTGAAGCTTTTGTATCTCTGATCAGATAGTATGTTTGTTCATTCATTTCATAAACACTTAAGTGTATATTGTTTGCAAAAGAACCATACTGTGGGGCTGTTGGTAATATCAAAATGTTTGTGAGATAGTTCTTTCTAGAAGGCGTTTAAATCTAGAAGACAAGGCATATATACAAATACTTTATAAAACAGAGATGAATATGAGAAGTGCTACAAGAAAATACACTGTAGTTTAGATGAGAGGGAAAATACTTTTGAATGCATAGTTAAGTGAAGGCATAGTATAAGAGGCCAAAAGGGTAAAGTATGAGAATTAGGATTTTTACAGACATGGAAAAGGAGTATCCTGTCTAGAGAGTCAACAGTATCAGCAAGGCACAGTCACGGAATGTAGTAGGATAGGTGAAAACATCAATGAGGAAGAAGAAAAATGTCTCCAGATTTTAATTTGAGCTGATTAGCTTTGTTGGTTAGTAAGTATTTACTTTTGCCAGAACTTGAAAAGTGAATGAAAGGAAGGATCAAGGAAACATTTTTTTGAAGTCAAACAATAGATGTGGAGTACATTTTTCCTCTTGGATCATAAAAGCAATAAAGCTCTTATTTGAAATTGCACTATGATGATTCCACTTCTCTGCAGAAGTAAATGGCAACCCACTCCAGTATTCTTGCCTGAAAAATTCCATGGACAGAGGAGCCTGGAGGGCTTCAGTCCATAGGGTTGCAAAGAGTTGGATATGACTTAGCAGAGCAGCACAATTCCACTTCTCTATAACTCTGAGGACTTTCAGTAAGGACTCAAAGGCATATATGTTATCCTGAGCTTACTACAAACCATATACACTGGTTTTTGTCCTTCGAAGTAGAAAAAAAGTGTGTCTGTAAACCCCAGAATGTCATAAGTATAATATTGTTCAGTGGCCAGTAGTCATCTCTGCCATCTTGGTATTGTTGATCACATCCTCAACGTTTTTCTCTAATGAAATTAATGGAATTTCTTTAACTCCTTTAATTTAATGAATATTATAGTTGTTACTTTTGTCTTGCTAGAGGAGAGTAATTATAAGGCTACCTATAATCCCTCCATTCTCAGCCAAGTATATGTTATACTCAGTTCTGTTTGCTACGTCTGGGCTTTTAGCAAATCTTTACAGTTTTATTTTACAATCTCACCAACTTCTTTCTTCCTATCCATTTTAAGAGCAAAACCTCTCTGATATATTTTGCTTATTTCTGCTTTCATGTATTCACAAAATGAATGTCATTGTATTCAAAAGACTGTTGCAAGAAATCTTCCTTTCTTAATGTTTCGGCTTCAGCAATCCCCTGTCAAGTTATTGTGACTAGTTCTTTTTCTTTCCCTATAAAATTTAGACTCAGAGTTCTCAACTCAAGAAGTTCTTACATACATTCCACTTACTTGCATCCCCCTTTTATTTCCTTCTAGTTTTCTTTCAATGTGCCCAGACATAGTCTCTCTTGAGCCATTTTTATTCCTTTCTAATGATGCTATCTCTGTGTATCATGCTACATCCTGTGCCTGAGAATCTCAAGTGCCGTGTCCTCTAAGACACGTAACATTTGTCAAATCACTGTTCAGCATACATTTCCTTATTTTTTTTTTAAATCTGTTACTACTAAGCCCTTATTAAAAAATACTTGTGAAATTAGACTGCAAGAAAAAAACAGAACGTGGTGTGAAAGGTCAAGCCAATTTCTTCTTTGTAGTTAAATACTTTTCCTTGGTGCTTAGGTTTAGCATGTTTATTTGCTTAATATAGATTTCAGTCCTGTTTGAATCATATTCTGTCACCTCCAATACTGTGGATATAGCTAGCATATCTATATTCACAGCCAACCAGCAACAATAAAAATAGATCAACACTATATAGTAGTTATTTTCTATAATTATGGCCTATCTCCTTGTGAAATTACTGCTTATAGAAAGAAAAAAAGTACTTTTCTTTTTAAACTGGATTGGTACAGGAAAGTTTAAACTAGTTAATATTTTTATATTATTTTTATATTTTTCATATTTAAAGAAAGGTTGTATGACTACTAAATCTATCTTTTGTGTTCTCTGTTTTCTTCCTACACCTTTGAAAATCCTCTGATTTTCATTTTTTATTTAAGTATAGTTGATTAACAATATTGTGTTAGTTTCAGCTATACAGCAAAGTGATTCAATTATATATATGTGTATATTTTTTCAGATTACTTTCCATTATATGTTATAAGATATTGAATATAGTCCTCGTGATATAAACCCTTGTTGTTTATCTTTTGTATATATAGTAGTGTATGTATTTATTCCTCCCCCTTCTAGGTTTTTTGATTATTAAAACCTGTGTACCTATTTTATTAGAATAAGGATCTCTTCTGCCTGGAATAGCAAATAAATGTATTTCAGCTCATTATTTAAGGTATATACCTCAAAGTAACTGACAAAGGGAAAAAAATTACCTTGAAGTGAAAAGAAAACTAAAAGTAGGAAATATGTGGGATCCATGGAAAAATGTATCTTGTAACTGCCTTGGTTCCTTGTAAAGCTAACCTTCTAAAATTTATGTGCATCTTGAATGATGAAAGGCGATGGTATAAACTTAGCATATTTTCCTGGAGCTCTGTAACTCAAAGATATTGGGGGAAACCACATCATTTTTACATAAAACAGATATATGTTATGGAGGGGAATGCAAAACTCACATGAATTTTTAAAATAAAACAGATGACTTCAAAGAAATGTCACACTTGCTGCAGATCCCTAGGGGAGCGTGTTCAATCTTCTCTTTCATTAGGGGCATTTGGGTGGGTAAAGTTTATGAAGCATTGCCTAAAGAATTGGAAAGTGGTTTTGTTTTGCTTTGGTTTCACTTATTTATCTATTTAGTTATTATTCCAGGCAGGGTGGAGGCAAGCAGGCAGAGTGAGGGTGAGAGTGCCTTCTAAACAGATCATCTCATCACTCTTATAAGTTCAGAATCAAATAGTGCATTGTAATTTTATTACCAGGGGGATTAATAAAATACTATTTCTGTGGTCATTTTCTTCTAGGTTAAATGATAAATCTCCAGATCCTCTGCTTCATGTTTGAAATACCGATGAGTCTTTAGAAAGAAAAATAAAAGCTGTTGCTACAGAGAATCTAATGCCTGTAAAATACTGAAAATATATTTGATAAATCACCATTACCTTTTCCCCAATGACTAATTTTAAAGATTATATATATAGAATTATATCTAATATACCTATAGATCTGTTGTCTAAAGCATTGCTAGTTTGCTAGACCTAGTTTATAAATCCTGTATTGTTTTCCCCCCGGCCCCCCTCTTCCCATGGCTATCAATATAACTTTCAGCTTTGATGATTTTTGTAGTTTGATTTAAAACCTTAGTGTTTTATAAGTCAGCTCTAGGGATTAAAGCAAAAGGATTAGCAAAACTTAATTAAAGCTATTCCATTCAAGAATGGAAAATAATATTAATATATTTGAAGGCACTATTAATCCTAAGTTTTTGCATAAATCCGAAATGGGTTTCCTTTCAGTTAAATTAGTACCATCATATAAGATAAAAGTGGGTTAAGTTTTCTATAAACAGTGTTAGTTTCCTATGGTTTAAATCCACTATTTTAACTTTTAATGATCAACCATACCTTTTGCTCTCTGCCATCTGTTCGTGTCAGATTAGTAACTCTGATTAGCTGTTTATCCATTCTGAATTCTTCACAAGATAAATAATGATGAAAGTTTAGACTAGAGGAAATATTATAGGGGAAAAAATCTATCAAATGAAGAAAAAGAAAAAAGTTAAGTCATAGCAGAGCTTAAAAAGTTGGGGGAAAGAGGGAGGAAAAAAAAAAAACTGGAGGAAAAAAAAAATTCCAAAACTCCAGAGCTGACAGAAAGTTTAGATTTAATCTAGTCCCTGCCAAAAGAGACCCAAGATGGCATTTAGTCAAAATTCATCATTTTGCAGTTGAACAAACTGAGGCCTAGAATGATGAAGGTATTGCCCACAGTCACACAGTCAATGAAAGTTTGCAGACCTTTTGTCTATTATACCTTTCAGTTCCACTTTAATTCTTTTGTGGTCTAAAATATAAAACAGAGATTCATATTTACATATTGGAAAACATGCAGAAAATCAACACTAACCAAATAAAAATTTACTGGAATATAAATGCCATTTCATCTGTATCGTGGTCCTATTTCTCTAGCCCCATTTTGACGGAATTACCCTTTCCTTTCTCTTAGTCACAGCAGCACTTTAGCCTTATTAGTAATACAGCACCTACCACATTTGCATTTTTGTATTTCATGTATTCTTCTCTCTGTACCTCCTAGATTGAGTTCGTAAGTGGCAAGGAATATGCCCGGTGTGTCCCAACAGACTCAGTGCTAACACAGCAACTCAGAGAAGTATATACACTCAGAGAGAAGTAACTGTTCAATAAATTTGTTACACTGAATCTTTGTGTCTCCTTTTAGTACACATACATTTCAAAATATGGCACTTTGGGAAGTTGGCAAGTTGAGAACAGCAACCTGAAAATTTGTTTACTCTAAGTACAAGAGGAAAAACAAAATAAGTTGAAATAAAGAGAACACCAGGGCTTAACAGTATTTCCTGGCCCATGTTTTACTTTTTTTTTTTTCCATTTATTTTTATTAGTTGGAGGCTAATTACTTTACAACATTGCAGTGGTTTTTGTCATACATTGAAATGAATTAGCCATGGGTTTACATGTATTCCCCATCCCGGTCCCCCCTCCCACCTCCCTCTCCACCCGATCC